TAAAGAAGTCATGTGAAGAGAATATTTACATTATTTAAAAATTATTTCAAACTGGTGTAATGAAAATTTTCACTTTATAATTCATACAGCCTATCCCATCTCAATGTCTGTGATCCAGAGGATGAAGCAGAGATTAACGCTCTGGAAAACACTCAGTAAGTTGATAGCCTCTTGTTAGTACATGTATTATTGCATGATTTGAGTATTATACCATAGTTCACTTAGATGTTCTGCTTGGATAGTAAGTGATGTGGATAGTATGAGAGTCTGTACACAGCACTTCATCTTTTCATTTGTTTTATATATATTTTCAGTTGTTATTCATCAGGTTCTTGTCATAATAATATCATTAATGATTGTTTTTATTTTGTATGTTTAAATCACTTGGCCTTTATTTTAGTTATTCTGTATCATAGTTTGATTTCTTGTTGATGCTTTTTGGATAGGCTTTCTTTGATCATGTGATGTGTTGTTTTCCAGGCTTTCTGTTGACATAGACTATGAGAACTGGGGAGAAGAGGAGGAAGATGCGTATGAATACTTTGATGATGTGGAGAAAGATCCGGACTATGTTCCGTCTGTGACAATGAGGTATGTGTCTTGTGAGTAGGGAGATAATCTGTATGCTTTCAGTTGCCCTTGGTATTCAGTGTTCTTATATGTTTAAAAGAGTTCATGACTGTAGAGCATAGCTGTATCCAATGTTGGCCTTCAATGGTATGTTTTAGGTTAATCTGTGTTTTATGGTACAAGTTATGTGATGATCTTCCTTACAAGTATCAACCCAAGTTGACTTAAAAAAATTGTTTGCTATTGTCAATCTTTCTTTAAATGAAATAAATGTATCTTGTTTCCTGTCCATATTTCAGGACATCATCCACCATTCTAGGTCGGGACATCGAGACATACGGTGTCATCACACCTGGGGAGGAGGTTTACGACCATGCCTTGTCAGTAGGAGTGGCAGATGAGACCGATGACAACATCGAGTTTCCAGATGAGATCAAGGTCAACCACTCTGGTGACATCAAGGATGAGCAGTGTTCCATCGTGTACACGAAAAGCCTGCTTCAGCTGGTGGAGTTCCTGCAACAACCTGCAGACAAGATGAAGTGCAGGGACCCAAAGTGCAGTGCAACCGGACAGCCCAACCCAGTGGCCAAGTCCATTGGCACTGGAATCGTCCTTAAATGGGTAAGCTCACACTTTTTTGTCAGACACTGACCAACTTGCTTCTTATATCAAAATGTGATGTCTAGCCATTGCCCCTGCATTTATATTAGTTTTCCTGTTGCAACTATATGAAGCTGCATTTAATGTTACTTGCATTAGTAGGGTTGTCCAAACAGGATCTGTTTCCTTTTTTTCTGCAGTACTGTGGTAGTGGGCATCTCATTTGGAAGTGGCACAGCCAGCCCAGGTTCAAGTATGGACTTCAGGCGGGGGACTTCATGCTGTCCTCCAGCATTCTGCTGTCGGGGAACAACTACAGCAAGGTCAGCCTGATGTCCAGCTTCATGAACCTGGGGTGTGTCTGTGAGACAACATTTCTGAGAGTCCAGAGGCAGTACTGTGTGCCTGTCATAGAGACCTTCTGGCAGCGCAAACTGCAGGCCCTTGTAAGAGAAATGAAGAGGAGGGACAAGGTCGTTCTGCTTGGTATGTACTATATGTGTTGTATCATTTGACTTGCATATACACTGCTATTGCTATCAATATTTTGTTTTATATAATGGGGTGAAAATTTATGGAACTAGTATGGAACGTAATTAGCCATTACTCTGCTGCATTATAACATGGGGACAGATGCTATGGAAAGCAATAATTAATGTTTTACAAACATCTTTATTTTGCACATACACAGGAGATGGACGGATGGACTCACCAGGACACAGTGCACAGTATTGCACGTACACTGTCCTGGATGGGAACACAAGGGCCATCGTTGCTGTGGAAGTGGTGGACAAGAGGCAGACAGACAGAAAGTCTTCAATCATGGAGAAGAGGGGGTTTGAGAAAGCCATGGACAAACTCTTGGAGGCAGCTGACAACAGTGAACAAACCCTAATTTTGACCTAATTTTCTCATGTATCCATCTGCTCAGGGAAAGCAAGACCTCATCACTCAGGTCTCTCATTTTGCCTAATTAACTGATGAAATCAACAAAATTTGACCAAAGTAGGAATGTTTAGACCCTACCTAATACATGGGTGCATGTGCACCTTAGTGCACCCAAATTTGAAGCTGTGCACCCAATTTTTTTCTGTGGGTGCACTGGTACACCCAAATATTTTTATAGGTATTTTTCTCACTCACTCACTCACTCACTCACTCATTTTTGTACATTGTACATTGTTAAAATTTATAATAGTATACAGGATATTCTTGGCATCTAAATTGTACATGTAAGTGTCAGAAAAATAATGAAAGCTTTGTTGTAGTACTTGTGTAAGATTTTGAAGTTAGCTCCCATTTCAGATTCAAGACTCCCATTTCAGATTTATGTTTTATATGGTGCACCCAAATATTTCTTCGTGCACCCAATTTTTTAGGTTGGGTGCACCAGTGCACCTATTCCCAAAAATGAATTTCGAGCCCTGATGTTTCTTCTAGGCTAAAAGTCTCCAAACTGGACCAACATTTTCAAGAAACAAAAAAAAAGGTTTTTCAAAGATATTGACTAGGGACTACAATTGTGTTCCCATTTTGGGTCCTCAACTGTGCAACGCAATGGTGATGTCTGCCCTAAATGGGCGCTTGCATGGGGGGGTCCCGACAACGCTCTACGCTAAATTTTGAGAGCTGGCTACGTATTACACTACAGTAGCTATTACGCTTTACAATAAATTTCAAGTGGCTACAACGCATTACATAGAATTACAAACGCGAATTATGTTCTACGCAAAATGCGCCAATTACGCTCTACGATGAATTAGTGTGGTCTGTCTACACTCTACATAGAATTAAAACAACCAATTACACTCTTCGGAAAAGGGCATGCGGGCCCCCCTAAATAGTAAGACTGATGATGATGGCATCTCACCTATAGTCTCAGTCTCTCCGCTAAGCTGCATGTTGAGGTGTTCTAACTCCTGCACCTTGTCGCTGAGCTCTGCCTTGTCCCTCATGACGGCGCTGAAGCGATCCTGCAGCTTGTCCATGGCCTCCTGCAGGTGGTTATGTTTCTCCTGGGGGATGTAGCCGTCTGTCAGGGCTGGGGGAGGGGGGGCACAATTGGGTTAAAGGCATCCAATGCGATTTCATGGCAGCAAAAATGGAAATATTCTGAATGAGGTAATCTTTATGATAGTCACACATACAGCTTCACATTAGCACATTTGAGTCAGTATTTCATACATTGGGCTTTTCAAACTGCACAAACAAGCCTCAAGATGAGTCCTTTATTTTCTGGGAGGTACATCAAAAATTAGCCAATGGTCCTTCCAGTAACCATTTTCCATCAGAATTTTGCTCCATGAGGGTCAATATACACTGGGATAGTGTGGTTTCAACTCGAAGATAAATGACTAGAATATTGACTTTGTAAAATCTGGTTTCCAAGCCCTAAAAACTGCACTGGATGCCTTTAAGGTCACATAACACAGTATTTATGGCCAAACTTTGTAGTCAAAAGTAGTTCGGGCATTACAAAAAAAGGTCCTGTTCCACTCTGTGCAGAACATAGGGGTGGCAACCATCTACATTTCTGTAGCCCTTGGGCAACACAGTTGTGCGATCACTACAGCAGGGGGATAGTCCGCTGGTAGTGTTGTGTGTTGACCTTCCCATACTCTTTCTCACAGATGTTGAGTGCTAAGGTGAGAAAGCAGTACCATTTTTAAAGTCTTCCGTATGACCCAGCCGGGGTTTGAACTCACAACCTCCCAGTTACAAAGTTAGCGAGCTATTGTACCGCACATTATGTCCTACCTGGGCCGCGATTACGTTCGATACGGGTGTTCCGGCCCGTGTGATAACTAGCGGTACAGCCCGGGGGTTCTTTACGCGTACGGCCCGGGGCTTCTAAATGTTCCGTGGAACGATTCGAACGTGTTTCGGCCTAACCGCGTGCACCGATTTTCGATACAAAATTCGGACGTTGGTTACATTTTTGCGGTTTAGGGACACCAAATTTTCGCTCATTTCGCATTGAAAGGCGTGTTTTCGTGGGTGGGTATGACATAAATAAAATACAACACGGTGTATTCCGCATCACCCTCGGTCCCAGCCCTCCCGCGGATCGGATCGCCCTCCGGCCTTCGGCCGTCGGGCGATCCGACGCGCGGTCGGGCTGGTACCTCGGGCGATACGGAATACACCGTGTTGTATTCTATATTTACAGCTAGGTGAAAACTGTGCTGAATATTGTAGTTGAGACCGTATAATTTAAATTACGATGCCTGGATCCTTTTACGGCCTAGTACCACTAGTAGTAGTAGACGACCACCTCCCATCCACTAACCTCGTTGTTCCTGTTCCTCCCTGAGTTTGTCCATCTCCTCCACCAGTAGGTGATGTGTTCTTCTCTGGTCCTCAAATGTCTCCATCAGAGAGTCCCGCTCCATCTCCAGCTGTCGTATGGCTGCAGAAAGTGTACTAACCTACAGGCAACACACATACACCAGTCAGGGATGCCATCTAGCAACTACATCCTGAACTGCAGGCACAAATGGCTTCCTCAGGTGATGTGTCTGTCTCTGGTCCTCAAACTTGTCTTTCAGAGAGTCACACTCATATGGCTGCAGACAGTCTACTATCACACAGAAAACACACATACACCATGCAGCGATGCCATCTAACAACTACATCCTGAACTGCAGGCACAAATGCCTCCCTCAGACAGACCAATCTCCTTCCATGCCCTCCATCTTCTCCTCCAATCAAATAGCTAGCTTGAGCTTACATGTCCAATCGAATGTCTTGTAACAGTTGAGTACTCACCACATCTGAGTTGTCCAGGAGTTCGGACTGTTCGCCTGAATCTGTGGCGTTTTCTGCAACAACATACATACCCATGGGTTAGTTACACAATGTATCATATCAGAGAAGTCAAACTCTATTCAGGGATAAAATTTGATTCAAAATACCAGGTGCAGGTATGCAGAAAATGATGGAAAGACAGATACTGGCTAATAGACTGGTAAGACCACACCAATTCGATTTGTTGGTTGTCACATTTTTTCAGAAAAAAAATTGAAGCGACAGGGCGAAAAAAAAAAAACAGATCTACATGTGGGCATCCTCTGATATCCCCAAAAGCTATAATAGGAGCCAGATTGGTTTGTAATTCAAACAATGAATTTCTAGCTCTTTACCAAATCACCGCATTGATACATGGAGAAACTGTAACAACTAGGAGGACAAGGAATTTCTTTAACTAGGCCAAAATATGAGCATTTTGGAGTTGGCTCAGAACCAGAATCTTTTCCTTTTTTTTTCAAATCAGAAAAACATGAAGCAGGCAAATCTGAGAACCAATTGGGCCACACCGACTTAATTTTATGGAAGACATCCATGCGTGCATTGATTTTCGTTTGTTCTGAAAAAAAAAAAAAGAAAGATCACATCTACCGAGGCTCTGGCCTGGCTCTAGGCCTGGGCAGTCCTTGGTAGTTACATGTAGTTAGCAACAATAGGGAGCTGGGCACCCAGGCTACCAAAGCTCCACAACCGCCGATTCATAAATTCCGCAAAAAGCCGGCTTGTGCCGACTTGTATACGTCGCTAAATACTGCTGCAAATTCACAATACCAGCTTTGTATTCCTGTGGATTAGTATTTTTTAAATTTTTATTTGCCCGTGCGCACTAGTTTGGGGGTCTTCAGAGGATGTTATCCATAAAATCAAGTCGGTGTGGCCTTGCCGGTACTTAAATTGGAGTGGTCTAATATATAGATGAAGAGCCTTATACCAGTGCTGGTATCTGGGTTCTCAGCTACAGGCCTGCTGTCCAGCTGACTCTTCAGGTCTGTGTTCTGTGAAGACAAGGTGTTGATGGTCTCCTGAGGGGGGAGGGGGGCAACAGCAAGTTGGGAATCAGTAAAATATTAAAAGTGATCTTGAACAACAGGGTTCTCACCAGAATTTTTTCACAGCATAGGGGCCAACTTGACGCAGGCCGTGCATTGAGTCCCAAAGACATGATAACATTAGAGGGTTTGGTATTCTCGACGAAAAATTCTAGATCTCTAAAATTCTAAACCTCTGAGACATTATTTGAGGGACGAATCTTGACATGTTATGTTTATCCTGTGTTATAGCTTATTCTTTAGTCAAATCTGAATTTTTCAAAGATTTATGAAGGGTCAGATGCCATGTACAGTATTTACAGGTTCATTGTACGGGGGAAATTCCCCTGGCTCTTTTCGACAAGCACAATGAACAGTGGACCACAGCTTAACGTCCCGTCCGAAGGACTGTGACCCTTTCCAGTAGCGTGCATGTTGGGTGAGCAACAACAGCTGGGATTCGAACTCCCAACCTCTTGGTCCAGAGGCAGGGTCATTAACCACTGGACTATGCATACTACTAAGGGGGTGAAGTCTGCCATACCTGTGCTGAAGCTCGTTCTCTCTGTAACATCTCTAGAATGGTGCCAGTTAAAGCAGTATGGGTAAGGGGGTGAAGTCTGCCATACCTGTGCTGAAGCTAGTTCTCTCTGTAACATCTCTAGAATGGTGCCAGTTAAAGCAGTATGGGTAAGGGGGTGAAGTCTGCCATACCTGTGCTGAAGCTAGTTCTCTCTGTAACATTTCTAGAATGATTCCAGTTAAAGCAGTATGGGTAAGGGGGTGAAGTCTGCCATACCTGTGCTGAAGCTAGTTCTCTCTGTAACATTTCTAGAATGGTGCCAGTTAAAGCAGTATGGGTAAGGGGGTGAAGTCTGCCATACCTGTGCTGAAGCTAGTTCTCTCTGTAACATCTCCGTCAGCTGTCCCTGTGCCTCATAGTGTCTCATCCTGTCTGCCAGCTGAGACTGCTGCATCAGCTGTAAATAACATCATCAGGTCTTCTCCACTACTGGTCAGTTCTGTTACCTGCTGGGCTTTGGACTGAACCTGACATAAACAACAACAACAACAAATCAAAAATCTGTAAATAACATCATCAGGTCTTCTCCACTACTGGTCAGTTCTGTTACCTGCTGGGCTTTGGACTGAACCTGACATAAACAACAACAACACAATCAAAATCTGTAATAACATCATCAGGTCTTCTCCACTACTGGTCAGTTCTGTTACCTGCTGGGCTTTGGACTGAACCTGACATAAACAACAACAACATCTGTAAACATCTGTAAATAACATCATCAGGTCTTCTCCACTACTGGTCAGTTCTGTTACCTGCTGGGTTTTGGACTGAACCTGACATAAACATAAACATAAACAACAACAACAACAAATCAAACATCTATAAATAACATCAGTTAGGTCTTCTCCACTAC